GATGGGGGAGACCACACACAATAAAGATAAAAAGATGGAATGGACTTTAAGGTTTTTCAATATTTTTGCCTGTATCAACAAAAAATCTCTATTATTTTGATACTATTAAATTAACTAACAATTATTTTAATAGTTTGAAACTTTGTTCAATTAGTTTTATATTTTCACACATGTATTAAGAAGTATAGTTAATATCTTAAATTTAATACAAAATATTACGTAACTTTGTACTACATTTGTTATTTCTTTATTTAAGGAAAAATATATTTTGAGATCTTCTTTTGTAAACATACAAATAACAATATTATATTTTGATTGATTGATAAAGAAAGAAAAATAAAAAAAATGATATAAAAATTTAAAAATAAGTTATTAAATGATTTTTTTTTCAAAATATCAGCACTCTTTACCTAATTACTCATTATTTATTATTATTATTATTATTATTATTATTATTATTATTATTATTATTATTATTTTACTAGGATATAGTCATAGAAAAAAATGTTAGATTCACAGTTGGTTTTATATAACAAAAGATTTTTTTTCTTCTGAAATACCATAGAAATGGAATGAAGAGAAAATATTGCATAGAAATTTGAAAAATCTTCCATTCAAACTTTTCAAAAATTGGATAAAGTTGAGAAACTCCCCTTCATGCAGAAGAGGGTTTGATGCTTAATAACTTTTTCTCATCTCAATAACTTTTTCATATTATATTATATTATATATATATATATATATATATATATATATATATATATATATTTTGTTATATATGTTTCTTTTAATTTAGGACAAATATTAAATTATAATTCTTCTTCTCCTTCTTTTTTTATTCGTTATAAAAAAATTCTTAAATATCTTTAAATATAAATATTTTAAGTTTGCATAAATTCTACAAAATTGATTTCTAAATCAAAATTATATATTTATTTTTAGTCTTTATTTAAAATTATGATACTTGAATATATATTTTTCAATAAATATAAACTGTGAGCACCAGTTTATATATAAGGAAAATAAGTTTAAAGTTTTACCATTAAACTAAAATTAATGAATTATAAATAGAAAAGTCTAATCTTTCAAACTTCAATCTCACAAAATTATCATCTATTTGTAGCTCTGCTTTCTCTGTCTTCTCTCTAAATTTCTGTCATCTTTTACTAGATCCAAGCACACATTAGTAACTTTGGAGGAGCGGAGATCATTTCTACTTATCATAATTACGAATATAGTAAGTTTTTTTTTTTTTTCAATTTCAGATCATGTTTTCATATTTGAGTTTAAGTTTGCATGTGGGTCATACGGGATTTGCATGTAGACTTTATTACGAAAAGATGAATCTTGACTAGTTTAGGAACATTGTAGTATGTTTAGTATGTTAAGTGAGTTTTTTTGTAGACAAGATCTATCTTCCTAAAAATTGAGTAATTTTTTGGATTATCTAACTTTGAGATATGTGTTTAAAGTAAGAAAAACTAGTTATTCTTCAATTTCTATAATACTCAAGGCTAAAAGATTTAGCCTGGGAAGGTGACTCGATCACATTAATTGAGTTTCAAGAAATTGAATTGTGTGTGTTTATTTGTGGTTATTGTATTGAATGTGAATGTATAATTGATTCCTATGAAATTCAAAATGATAGTCTTTTGTATGAATGTATTATTCTTAGGTTGAATTTAGTGAATTCATTTACAATTTGGAGGTTAATTTATATTTAATTTGATTAGTAACATTAGAAACATATTATTTAGTAGATTATGCAGTATGCTACTATCACAAAATCGTCTAATGCATCTGAATTCGCCCAATAAATCTAGATTCGCTTAATAGATTTAAGACAATGTTGAAAACGCTTAAATTTCACTCAACACTTTGATATTCGTCCAATGGATTTTGAACAATATTGGAGGTTTTATTTTGTCGAAATTTTGCTGTGTGGAGTAGATTTGAAACCCTCTTAGCACTTTTAAATTCACTCAGTTGTTTTAAAAAATATTAAAAAATAACTTTAAATTTCAAATTAAACATTTCATATATGTAAATCAAATCTCAGAAAAAAGGAATATAATAAAATAAGAATTAGTTAAAAATGATGTGTACAAAAAAGTTATGGAATGGTAAAATAAAAAAATTAAATTTTATTATAATATGAGAAATGATATAAATATGCCTTAAAATATTAAAATACATTATATGAATATGAAATGAGGTGTGTGTTTCTACATGTTATGAAAAATATTATGTTGTGATATAAGAAATATCAATGAGTATTCTTAAGTGTATAGTGTCGTATGTATAAATATTGATTTGGAATTCGAAAATATATCTCAAGTTTACTAATAACTGAAATCACATAAATGAAATAATCAAGTGGTGAAAGTTGAAGTAAGTTTCTAGTTACTTAGCCTGGAGTGTAAAAATGAATTGTGTCTTAATAAATCATTTTGAATTTTACTCCGATCATATATAAGTGTATATACCAAAATGAGTACCCTTGTGTTATGTAGTGTACTTGAGGAATTGTGGTGTGACAAGTGTAAATCTCTAATATTTAATTTTCCGAAAGTCGTTTAGTATTTGTATAATGTGAATATGAATCTATATGAAGTGATGTAATATAAGAAAATTTTAAAATTAAATTATATTGTTTTATCTCATATTTAAATTTTACATTCTTAAATTAAATTATTAGTTTATCTTATATGTTTTATATATTGTTTTAAATTGTAATCAGTGTATATTTACACGGAATAAATATTTTAAGTAATAGATTTTAGTGGAATAGGTCGAGAAGTAATAGTAATATAAATTTACGTTATGTTTATTTTTAAATATATATATATATATATATATATATATATATATTTAAGTTGTTATATAAATCAAGTAAACTTAATATTTTATCTAAGCTCAATTATATTAAAAAACAATTTAATGGTCTAAAGTATAATTATGTATATCATTCAAATAATATTGTTCAATTAATACTCTAGTAACTTTTTTATAATGTAAATTTTAATGAATGTGACATTAAAAATAATATTATTTTTAAATGTGATCATAGGTAGTGTAGTGATTAGTACAAACTTGAATTAAGTAGTAACAGATAAGGCCTCATTATAGAACTTCAAGCCTTGGAAGGTGAGACCATGGAAGCTGAAGCTGAGGAACCTGTCGTTTAGTTTGTTCAAATCGCAGATTTTGAATACAATTAATAAAAATACTGCAGTTGAAGAACAGACATCTCACCACGTTAGAAGGGAAAACATGAGACCTTCAACGCAACATTAAATGAGCATCGTTTCCATGAAGATTAATTTTCGAGATGCATTTTTTTTTTTCAAGAATAATTCTAGACTAGAATATTGGTGACACATAAAGGGAGTGTGTTTAGCAAAATTAGTTCAAAAACTACATAAAAACTCAAAATTTTTACAAAGTTATAACTTGTTTAATTCGAACTATTGTTCAGTGAAATAACTTGTTTATCTAGCTGAAAAATGTATTGGACCAATCATCCAGAAAGAAGAGAGTGAAAATAATTATGATGAAATGAAAAAAATAAGAGAAAAAGAAGTTTAACACTATTGACTAACAATTTAAATTTAAAGACTAGGATTAAAACACTTAATTAACCCCACATGTTCTTAATTTCATCACTTACGTCTCCAGAACATCTCCACTTCTTTAGTCTCTATTTGATGTTGATAACTGCAACATCTGAAAATTACCATCCAAATATACTAAATGCTCGGCTTACATGTGTGTTATAATGCATTGAAACTCTTGAAATTTTTTACAATTAGGTTTTTATTCAATATAAAATTGATCGATAATATGCATATGTTACACTAAAATAAAATATAGAACAAAATAGTACTAACAATAAATAATAGTTTTACTAAAGAAAATTTTAAAAATGTCATTGAATTTTAAGAAAAAAAAAAGAACATCTTCTATTAAAAGAAACCACATATGTGTGTGTATATGACAATCTTAAACCATCGCTAATGTCGATATTTTAACCCTAATATCACTTATGATCCAAACTTTTGTTCAACAAGTAAGCCCAATCAAAGTCTTGGGTTTGGGCTAGCCTATCTAATCATTTTCCACGTTCGTTTCCGTATCCTAATGATGCAACCTTATCTCACGATATGAAATAGTAATTAATAATGTGATGATTTGATTGTTTTGCAATATTTTATGGATTTAACTTTATCGTGACACTAATCCGGATAAGCATAGATCCAAATCAATAACAACACTTTTGGAATTGTATATCGCTTTTCCCCTCCCAAAGCTATACTTTCACATTGCACTGGAAGAAGAAGATAATAACCTTATATATTCACTAAAGAAATGAAACACTTGTATGAAAAAAAACATGTTAAAATCGATCACTTATAATTAATTATGGACATTTTTTTTATGTAATAATATTAAATAATAAAAAATATCAAGATTAATAAACAAATTTTTATTTATTTTTTATCTCTTATATATATATATATATATATATATATATATATATATATATATTTATTTCTATCCTCTCTGTTTTACGGAGCGTTATGTTAAACTCTATGGTACATGTGAAAACTTTCAATAATTTTAAAATTATAATAAACCATGGTATAATAATTTAGATATACACGACCTTTTCACACCAAAAATGTTCCACATAAAGTAGTGTAACTAAATCACCAAAAAAGGAATAAGAGAAAAAGGATTGATTCTAGATATTTCAAGGGACAACAACGAAATAATGATACCCAGCTAGACCACGAGCACGCCACGCGCCCAATCCCATCTTTAAATCTCATCCATCCACGTTTTTTCCACATCCAATGGTTCTCATTTTACCAACTTCTCCATTTACTCTCACGCACCTATCTCTATCCTCAGTCTCGCTATCAACGCACAGTCACCCTCCCATTCCGTTTTCTTCTGTTTTTCAAATCCTCCGTCTCGCGGAATCCTGAACCAATGCCATGCTTCTCCGAGCCGCTACTGCTTCGTCACTCTCCCTATTCAACCCCAACGCTGAACCCTCGCGTTCGGTTGCCGTTCGGGGGAACAACGCGAGCCGGTTGGTGGTTCGCGCCGCGAAAGGATCTACGAACCACCGCATCCTAACCGGCGTGATTTTTGAACCGTTCGAGGAGGTGAAGAAAGAGCTCGATCTCGTTCCCACCGTTCCTCAAGCTTCTCTCGCACGCCAAAAATACGTTGACGAATCTGAAGCCGCCGTTAACGAACAAATCAAGTTGCTCCCCTCTTTCTCTCATCGTTTTATTTTCACTTTGTTATTTTCTTGTTCTGATTGTTGTTTTCTGGATGCAGTGTGGAGTATAATGTTTCGTATGTGTATCATGCTATGTTTGCGTACTTCGATAGGGATAACATTGCGCTGAGAGGTCTTGCTAAGTAAGTAACGATTTCGTTAGTATTTTAATCTCTTTTTATTTGTATTGATAATAATTAGGAGTGGTTGTTTGTAATCAATGTTTATTGGTTGGAAAAGATTTTTTAAAGAATCGAGCGAAGAAGAACGGGAGCATGCTGAGAAATTGATGGAGTATCAGGTGTTTTGACTTGGACTTATTTTACATATTTTGGCCTATAGAGTGACTTTGATGTTGAATTTTGAATTCCGATTGAGTTGTTGCGATTTGTTTATTTTATTTATTTGCAGAACAAGCGTGGTGGAAAAGTGAAGTTGCAGTCAATTGTGATGCCGCTTTCTGAGTTTGACCATGCAGATAAGGGAGATGCACTGCACGGTTAGTTTTTATGTCCTTGTAATTTCCATTTTTAGTGTTTTCAGTTCAGATCGTGTGTCCTAAATAGGTTTATTTCATTTTCCGTGCTGTTCTCTATTTATCTGCATCTGAAGTGTGGCATGTGTGTTCTTTGGTTTGGGTTGTTGAAATCTTACAAGTTTTGACATCGTCTCTAGAATTGGAATTCTTAGTTCATATAATTGTTCGTGAGAAACTCTGTACATGTGTGATACTATTATTCTTAGCATCTTATGATGAATCAGAAATTATTTGGTATCATGCAATGCGTCAATGAATGTTGTGAGGCCTTTAATTTATTTATTTATATACTCGTAAATTATGATCAATGTAATTGAAAGTTATACGAATGGGAGTTTTTTAATGAAAAGGAGTTGAAGAAGCACTACTAAACAAAAAATGCTCCGTTTTCATTCTAATGAAACAAGGATTTAATCCTTCACTCATTGAATTGCTGTTATATCCGTTTGACGTAGCTATGGTTTTCAATTTATTGGGAGTTTGTGTCAAGCTCTTCTGTCAATTCTAGTTCAAAGTTATTACACATAATTATTTATTCAAAAAATATTCTTCATATTACGAATTCTAATTTGTTTTTGTGATACCAGGATAATATGTATTATACTTCATAAACATTCTAATATAGAAAAAATTACAAGAAAAACTTCTAATAGAGAATATATAAAAATAGGAAGATAAAAAAATAAGAAGAAAAATTAAATTTGTTTTTCCATAAACTAAAATTAACAACCTACTTATACTATGTTAATTTGTGGTCAATTTATAGAAGTTATCTATAGTTTTTTTCTTTTCCTCCAAAGTGTTTAAGGATAAACTTAATCGCTAGTAATGAAATTTTTTTATATAAATTAAATCAAATACTGATTGGATGTCACATTTATATATTACTGTTTAGTGGGTACAATATTTATTACGAAAATGGTAAATACGAATAAGCACGTCAACTTATTCAATATTTTTTAACTTCTTTAGGCTTTACCTGTTGAAGTTCTCCACTGGATTCATTATTTGTCAGCGTTAAACATGTTTTTTTCCTCTTGTTTCAGCAATGGAACTCGCTCTGTCGTTAGAGAAGCTAACGAACGAAAAGCTCCTTCACTTGCACAGTGTAAACCACTTTTATTGGATCTTAGTTCTGGTTTTGCCGCTTTGTTTCATTGGTCTTGTCTGTGCTGACAATGATTCGTTAAAATGGAAGTATCTTACTTTTTGAACTTGATGCATGTTTTGGCAGGTTGCCACGAAGAACGGTGACGTGCAGTTGGCAGACTTCGTGGAAAGCGAGTTTCTGGGCGAACAGGTATAAATACAATGTAAATTTTGGTGTTTCAACTATCAATTTTTTAAGAGTGAGATATTGTAAGTATTTGTGTTTTATCCTTTGCATTTGGCAAAATAAGTCTAATCTTTAATGGTTTTTTTCTTAGGTGGAAGCCATCAAAAGAATATCCGAGTATGTTGCTCAGCTCAGAAGAGTTGGCAAAGGACATGGTAAGAATTTCAAACTATGGTACTTGCATTTAATTTTCCCAGAGTTTTTTTTTTCCTTTGATCAAATAAAAGGGATCGTTGTACTGTATCTTATGCGTTTTCCTTAATGAACTTTCAGGTGTGTGGCACTTTGATCAGATGCTGCTCCACGAGGGAGGAGAGGCAGCGTGATGATTACCAGTTTCTCCCCTTTTCTAGTCATATTTTGTCCATCTTGCTCATCTGGGTGACTTTCGAGTCTTTGCTGGAAGGTGGAACTAAAACTACGGATTAATAAAATAAATAAGGACTGTTTCGATCATCCATGTTTTGTAGTTTATTTATTTGATCAGTTATTCTTTATTTTTTTTTTTTAAGAAAACAAAAAGTTTTTTCTTTCTAAATGCACACCCTAAATTACCCAGCATAAATTTACCAATGTGATGCAATAAGCGGATATTCGACCCTTGAAAAGTCAGAAGGGCATTTTGATAAATGGGCAAGGCGGATTAAAATGAAAAGATATAAGTTGTTTTCCATTGAATGAACATTTTTGGCGAGTGGCCGGTTATTCACTTATTACTTTTAACATTATTAAAACATTTAAAAACAAAGTGTCGTAACAATAACTAAATTATATAATAAATCATAACATATATTGATGAAGATAAAATGTTGCATTTTGTAACACAATTTATAATGTATAATTAAATCAATGCTTAATATAATTAATTTAAAATTCATACCGTATATGACTATCACGCCGTTTCTTTCCTTTTATATTAAATTACTTCCTTTAGTTTAACACTTTTGATAATATTTTAAAACATTTAGCATACATTTTTAAACAAAATATAAATACTAAACAATTTATTAAAAATCTATTTAATAAAAAATAACACATTGACTAAATAGTTAAATATTAGTTTAATAAAATATTACTTTATTTATATATTATATAAATATTGCAGCAGTAACATTATCAAATAATAACTAAATACTTGCGTTTAATTTTATTATAATTGTATATAATTAATTTTAGTTTTAATTTTATTACATTAAAATGTGTTTTTATATAAATATTTTGATATATGATTAAATTTAGCCCAATTCAATAAATAATAGTTAAGAATATAAATTAAGCAAATATTTTTTATTATGATCATTTTAAAAAAATAATAATTGAGAGATCTTAAAAATAAAAATAAGTCTATTTTAAATTAAAAAGAATGAGAAGGAAGTATATTATATATGGAGGGAGAGGGAGGAATAAAAGATATAGATGTATATTTGAATATAAAAGAATGTGTATACTTTGTTTTACTAATTTTTTACACGTTATACAATTAAACATAATAGTAAAACTTCTAAAATATGTTAAATGACTCACTTGATTTCTACGGTGAATCAAATTGTCTATTAATTCTTATACTTAGAAAAAAAAGGTTTTAGATTATTTTTAATTTATTTAAATCTTTACAAATTTAGAATAATAATAATAAGCAGGATAATAAACTAGTGTGCTGTTTAAATCAGTAAGGCGTATCATTTGAATTCTTACTGAATAATATTGTAAAAAAATTGCTACAATAACATTTTTTATTCAAGTAGGTGAGATACCTGAGAGGTAACAATTTAAAAAAAAAAGGTAATAATGTAGAACAAACTAATACATGCGACGAGAACGTATATTTAACATTCAAAAAATGTAATATTGTAATTGAAAAATTATTGAATACTGGGTAACAATTTCAGGAATTTAGATCCATCCTTTATATTCTTATTTGACCCTAACAAAAATTTAAATACAGCTACACATTTTGGGTTACACATACCCTCTTCAACTTGTATTCTAAAGGTTAATTAAGCATTGGCTTGCATTCTGAAAACGCCAAAATTATTAAACTTCATGCTGTAAGTAATCTAAGAAACAATTGCGACCCGTGTGAAACACAACAAAATCTTGACTGGAAATTACTAATTCAAATGAAAAACTAAAATATTTTAATTTCCTTAAAATTTAATCAACTATTTTACAAAAATGTTATAAATATATGTCAATAGCATTTCAAAATATCAATACGTTCAAAATTTACAAATATAATGAGTTGTATTGATCCATTTAATAAAGCACGCAAAAATCACACTCAGCTCGGTAGCAAAAGATCCTCCTACAACCACGCCATTCTGTTCAGCAGAAACCATGTAAAAAAAACTAGGGAATGGAAATATTACTTGATGAATATAACAGACACAATAAAGTTGTATAGTGCAAGAGTCAAAATTCAACGATTAAAATCTCTCGGACAAAAGAAATTTAAAAACAAAAACATTAAATTAAACTACCAAACACTCAAAAGTCTATTAATTCAAAACGGGGTTTAAGCGGCAGTTGCTTGCTGAGCAGCAATCCTTTTCCTAGCTTCCTCAATGATGGATAGCTTAATACCCTTACCCTTAGGAAGTGACACCCAAGGCTTTGTGCCCTTGCCAATGGTGAACACGTTTCCCAAGCGAGTGGCAAATTCATGTCCAGTGGCATCCTGAACGTGGATTGTCTCAAAGCTACCCTTATGCTTCTCCCTGTTCTTAATCACTCCAACACGACCCCTGTTTCTTCCTCCAGTTACCATAACAACATTCCCAACATCAAATTTGATAAAATCAACGATCTTGTTTTCCTCAAGATCCAGCTTAATGGTGTCGTTGGCTCTGATTAGAGGATCTGGGTAACGGATGGTACGACCATCATAGGTGTTTAGGTATGGAATACCTTTCTGGCCAAACTGCACCGACCTAACCTTGCAGAGCTTGAACTGCCATATACACAACCATTAAACAAATAAATTTGCAAGTTCTGAAAAAGACATTTGAAGGATCATTAACAGCAATAGATGTCTTAGCGTGTACATGACAGAACATAACACTAACGGCAACTTGGCAACTTGGCAAGTAAGTTACAAATGAATAAAAATAATCAATATAACAACATAAAAATTTCCTTAACATTTTGATACAATAAGGTTGCAATAGAAAATATATTCAATATAACCATATACGAAGTACCTTTGCCTCATCATCCCTGACTGAATGGAGACGGAATCGGCCTTTGGTATCATAGAGCAGGCGGAAATTCTCGTTGGTTTTAGGTATGGATACTACATCTGCAAAGAGAAAAAAATTTAAAAAGAAATAATGGATCAGGCAGAAGCCTCTGCAACTAATTTGATCCTCGAATTCAAGCTCACAATTAACCACAATAAACTCATAAAACATATGCCGATGTGAGTAAAACTGGTGAACATTGACAGTGTTCTAAATTTTCACAGAGAATCAGACTGTGTTCAGTATTATCTTTAGAGCATGACTAACATAAACTAAGTTAATACTTAAGTTCCTATTCAACACCTGAATATATTTTTATCTGCCGCAATGTTCTGACAAGATTTCAAGTGAGTTCACTAAATAAATCATTTTTATAAAACATCAAATCCAAAGGGGTATGTCTTCTCTGTCCTGACGCGCACAACACAATACTGCAGAAAATTTGCTAGATAAAACAATGCAAGCAGTTATTCTAATAATTGGCATGCTACAAACATACCCATGAAACCAGAGGGGTATGTCTTGTCTGTCCTGACTTTGCCGTCGACAAGAACATGTCGCTGCATCAGAATAGCAATGACTTCACGGTAGGTCAGAGCATACTTCAACCGGTTTCGCAGGATGAGTATGAGGGGGAGGCACTCCCTCGATTTGTGGGGTCCAGATGAGGGTTTGGGCGCCTAGACAGGAAATAAAAATATTCACATCAGTCCCTAAAATATTTCACATTCAGACACGTCAAATGATGAAGAAATCTTCAACTTACAAAAGCACCACCCAGTTTGTCAAGCATCCAATGCTTGGGAGCATTGAGCCTCTTCAAATGCTTCTTCAATCCCCTAGCCTGTAACGATCATATGCCTCAACGTTAAAAACCTCAAAAACATAAAAAAAAAAGAGATTCCAAGAGCAAACCTAAATTCAAATTAATAAAACGGGGTCTTAACCGTATCATACCAGCAACCACACGTTTTCTGTAACAGTATCATGTTTGTTTCGGAAAACGTGATAATGTTGCAGAAAACATGTGGTTACGGTATGATTCAGTTAAGACGCTCGAATAACAACAAATGATTACAACAAGAAATAAGAAAAAAAAAATTAAGATGCGATTCTGTTGCAGAAAACGTGATGCTGATATGATACGGTTAAGACGGGCATATGGTATTATGGACTCCCAATGAACAGAACATATTCAAAACCCTAAACCCTAGCTTACTCCAGTCGATTCGAAAAAAAATACAGCACAGCAGAGTGAAGTCTGAAAAGCACTTATATATTGTATTCAAATGCAAAAAGCCTATCATTAATCGAATAGCCATCATACATTGATTTGAAATTGTTAAAGTGGATTAATATGCGCTAACTCGTTTAAAAGGACGAAGAAGATTTAAAACGAAAGTTTTATACAAAGAAGACTATGAAACAGATCAAAACCTGATATGAAGATGGGAATGATAATTCATCAAATCCAAAAGAAGAGTAGAAGAGGATACCATATTGGAATTGCAAGGGAAACTAGTGCTCCACCGCTACAAAACTGAAGAAGCTGAGTGAGTTGCTGCGGCACTTAAGGGGAGGGTTGTTCACAAAACCCTAATTTGTGGTTTGGTTCTGGATCATGGGCTCTATGGCCCATACTCCTTTTTATCATCATGGCCCATACTCGTTTAGAGAATTACAGTCCGGTTGGGTCTTCAATTACGATTTTCGGCCCATATCAATAACAAGATTGCTCTTCCTTTAACAAGGAATTTTTTAAAATTTAGAGGATTTTTATATTTAAAGGAAAATTAATCGATTTCAAAAACATAATTAAAATCATAATATATATTGGGTAAAAAAATTATAAGAAGACTACAAAATAAAAATAAAAATTGTTAAGCTAAAATTAGTTTATTAGAATGATTTTATAACTTATTTTATGCATAATTTGTGAAAAAAAAATCTACAGTTTTTTTATCTAGAATAATACAAAATAATTAAATTTTAATTTTAATTTCTATAATTCTAATTAATAATTATGAAATGTATTTTTATTGTCAAAATGTTTCCAGTATTTTTAAGTAAATAAAATGAGCAATTAAACCACGTTGATCTATTCACCTTCTTTAGCTATAATTATATAAAGATTTTGTTTATAATTATTTTTTTATTAGAGAGAAAAATAAAAGTGTCATAATTTAAAGAAAAATAATTATTATGATTTATATATTACAAAAAATATATAAAAATAATTTAAAAAAATAAAAATAGAAAAATAATTATATAAAAAACTTTAGACATACACATGTTATAATGCTTGTGTTTCTACTAGGTTTATATAAATTTTAAAAATTTATAATATTATATGTATTATTTAGTCATAACAAAACAAACAAATTTAACATATTTTTTTATTATAATGTGTGTCCGCATTTTATTTTATATTTTTATTTATTAAAATGAATATATATATATATATATATATATATTAAATATAATTATTTTTAAAATCATGATCAATAATTGATGAAAAATAAAATATAAGAAGTTTTAAGAAAAGAGAAAAGTTAAAAAAATATATAATTAAGAAAGTAAGTAAGAAATAATATTTTTATTATTTTTATCTATTATTTTTATATTTAGGTATACAGTTTAACCAACTATTAAATTGATTTTTTTATACAATTGTTCCAGTTTATAAAAATCTTGCAAATATAAAACTAAGTAATATTTAATCATACTACTTCTTTGTGTTACAAACAATATATTTAAGTTATAAAAAAATTTAATTTAAATTACGTTATTTTGTTATGAATAATAAAAAATATACAATATCAAATATTTAACCATTAAAATGATTAATTTCTTATTCTAGAAAACAAGATAAATTGTCACTAGTATTAAAATTAAATATTTACATCATTATCACTTAACAAATTTTAAAGACTATTAATGCAAAAATTATACATGAAAACATTATGTAATATGTGAAATATGTTTAATATGACAACTTTCTATCTGTCACTCAACTATTCCTATCAAATTAACAAATCAAATATTAAATAATTATTTCTTCATTTAATTTTGAATATATACTTTAAAAAAAATTGAATATAAGATTACAACATACACACTATTATACAAACCAACTTTACATACTTGAAAGAAAAAGTTACTGAATTTTTACCTTAATAGGATTTTTTTGTTTAACAAAAACCAATCTAATGATGAATCTTGTTACACGTGTACATTAATTAATAATGTTTGAAACATTAACTTAAATTTGGTTAAAAAAACAAAATGTTTTCTAATAATTTATATTATAGTGGTCTATGATTTTTTTCCCAAACAACTTTTTTTTTCTCATGAAACACATTTTTCAAAAATTTCGAACACTTTTTTTATTTCAATCGTAATTTTGTTTTGCCATAAATTATCCTTTAATTTTAATTTTCAGTAAACTTATAAATACTTTTTTATTATTATAATTTGTCATACATAATTAATCAGTGAAATAATATAACTTCCACAATATACACGTTATTTTTAATTTTTTTTCTAAAAACACGTGCAAAGAATGGGATGCAATACGCAAACAATAAAGGAAAACTATGTTTTTAAAATCATATCATTGAATTAAGACATTCATTTTTTTAAACCATTGAATAGTAGTTTAAATTATATTAATAAAATCATAACATCTTTTTAAAACATATATAAGACAAAAAAAATCAATAATAACCCTAAAATAATAAAAACTACAAATAAAACATAATTTCATATGTTGTAACATTCAAGATACACAAATTATTAGATCAAATGTATCAAAATATTAAAGTTATGTTTCAATGATACATAACAATTTTCGATAATAATGACAAGTTTATATCTATAATAAAGAAATAACAAACACTTTATGTTATTTCTTATTTATGTAAGAGAGAGTTTACCTCTCCGACAATTTTGAAAAACAGTTTTTGTTTCAGCTTAAATCCGATAATATCCTGTCTCCATAGATTCTGTATCGAAGAAAAATATCTTACATTTTTTGTCAATAAAATATCCACTATTTGCTTACATAGTTAGATTCTCTATTATTTTTATTTTCTTTATTATATTACTTTACTTTTTATTTCTCTCTTTCTTGTATCCGAATGAGTGTTCAAAAAGGTTCCTAGGACAGATCCGGTGCTTAGGATGATAGTAAAAAGGGTAGTCAATTGTATTACCAGTCAAAATATTCAAGTGACTGGGTAAGGGTTTGATTTCCCGACTGCACTAATTTACTCTATACAGGATAAAGAGCAGGTGAGAAAATTCACGACTCCATTTGCTGGTTGGGAGGAGGAAACATCCTTCTTTCTTGACAATCTGCAGAAGTGGTTGATTATCAGTCATTAGTGGCAGGCATCTTTGTCTAGAGCCAGTTTCATACATAGGTTGTCAGGAAAAAGTTCAAGTTTTTAACCCAGTAGCAATGTACCTATTAACTATAAGTTTTAGGCTGTAGCATTATGTAACAAGCAAGAATGAGAGTGCAGAAAAGGCGGGTACGGTTGTTGTGCAGGGTGGCCACGTGGCAAGCAAGGAGAGGAGCATGGATGTGTGCAGAGGAAAGCGTGAGAGAAAGAACAGCTGTTATATTGTGTGATTTCATTCAACGTGGAATTATGGATGGTATGAAATATTCTCTCTCTGATTACTTCTCTATGACATTTAATTCTCTCCTTCTCTGGACCTATCTCATTTCCCACCTCTTCCATTTCAGGAATGACTATCGCTGCGTGATTTGTTAAACCCCTCAAATTTACTGTAGCTATTGTAGTGGCAATTTAGTTTGTGATTAAGATATTCTCGTTGTAATATTCAGAAAACAATATTACGTAATTAGAAAAGCTTCTGATCTTCATCATTAATTTTGCACTGTTACATTGGTGTTTTCATTGACTTCCATGGCAGAGAACACGCGTTTGAAGGATTTGCAAGCAGAAGTACGCACAACAGTGGACAATCTCAACAGGTTAGCGGCGACAGTGGAAAAACTTCAAACCACCATGGAAACCAAAAACAAAGCTCACGAAATTACGATGGATGAGATTAAATGCACTCTGCAACAATTGTTGATCAATTCCACTCAGACTCATGGAAGCTCTTCGAACTCACACACAAAATTAGGTGTAGGAGCATCTTCGCTCTCGATGAATTATCCGATAAAAGATATTTCCCTCGATTTTCCTCATTATGATGGAGCAACCCCTGTTATGGAATGGATTTTCAAGGCAGACAAATTTTTTGCTTATCACCACACTCCAGATGTTGATCGAGTTGAAATTGCATCAATGCATTTTGAAAAAGACGTGGTTCCTTGGTTCCAAATGTTACACAAGATGGAAGCAGTTAGCTCATGGTCAGCCTTAACCCGTGCGTTAGAATCTCATTTTGGACCATCACCGTTTGACTGTCTAATGGCAGAGCCCTTTAAACTGCAACAATCTGGTACCGTTTCAGATTATTATATGAAATTTGTATCCCTCGCTAACAGATTTGAAGGTTTAAACGAGGAGGCTATTTTAAATTGCTTTATTAGTGGCTTACATAGTGATATCAAACGTGATGTGGTGGCACTGTCTCCTCCAAACTTGTTACTAGCTGTGGCTTTAGCTAAACTCTATGAAGAGAAATATTTTCCAACCATAAAGACCACTGTAAATTACTCCACTAGATATAATCCTACTTCCTCCCTCGGTACCTCAACCAATATACAAGCTAGAAACATGATTAAGCCAACCTTAAACCTACCTAAATCCT